TTAAATTCCACCTTCATTAAGTCTAAACATGATGCCAATATGTTTTACTTTTATTTTGTTTCCAAATTATGGAGTAGAAATTTAAATTCGAGGTTATCTTAATTGTATATCTAAAAGAAAGAAATTGAAGTATTTGATCTATCAAATTTTAACTATGAAATAAATACAGTATAATCTACTAAAAGTCATGAATTATAGCATTCAAACACTCATTTGATTCTTCTTACTATGGAAGCTTTCTAAAGTCAGATAGACACACATTTAAGACCTAGAAAGTTGACACTTATATTTGAAAGCATAAATGCCAACTATAAGTTTCTGAAATCAGTTAGTTGAAAAAAAGAAGGGCTGAAAAGGCAATGAGAAGAAAGGTTACACACTTTTTAAAAAGTATCACCCTGGGGCGCCTGGGTGGCTCAGTCGGTTAAGCGTCAGACTTCGGCTCAGGTCATGATCGCGCGGTCTGTGAGTTTGAGCCCCGCGTCGGGCTCTGTGCTGACAGCTCAGAGCCTGGAGCCTGTTTCAGATTCTGTGCCTCCCTCTCTCTGACCCTCCCCTGTTCATGCTCTGTCTCTGTCTCAAAAATAAATAAACGTTAAAAAAAATTAAAAAAAAAAGTATCACCCTAAGCTGCAAGAGAGTGGTAATATGCTAAACATATACCATGGATCAAATATACAACTACAAATATTATTAATATTTAATCAATCGATAACCTGAATGAGTCATACTGTTAAAGACACAAATTAAGTAACAAACCACACTCAAATCTAAATTGAGACAATATTTTTCTTTTTTTTTTTCAATTTTTTAACGTTTATTTATTTTTGAAGGAGAGAGAGACAGAGCATGAGCAGGGGAGGGGCAGAGAAAGAGGGAGACACAGAATCAAAAGTAGGCTCCAGGCTCTGAGTTGTTAGCACAGAACCCAACCCCAATGTGGAGCTTGAACTCATAAGCCAGAGAACTCATAAACCTGAGCCGAGGTCTGATGTTTAACCGACTGAGCCACCCAGGTGCCCCAAGACAATATTTTTCACTACAAAAATAACTAAGAACCGATTCAAACACATTTTTGACACTACAGAGAGAATATTTTTTGTTTTACTGAATTCAAACATGGGGATAGAAGAACTTGGAAGTTCACAAAAAAATGAATTCACTTATAGATTGTTTTCTTAATGAATACTTCAATTACTGTAACAAAGTTTTAGAGTTAACATATATGATGGTAAAAGACTTTATAACATAATGCATAGTGACTTCTTATGTTTGAGCACCAATAATAATGTATCTGTATCTAGGTGCATGTGTGGGTGTAGACCTGTGTGTGTGTGTGTGCATATGTATCTCAAACGGATCTTTTAAAATCATCGTTCAGTCATCTTATTTTAAAGTTCTGATAGGGTGAGGGATAAATATTCTAAATTGTGAGGACGCAAATTTATTTTCTAAAATCAGAGACTTTTACCATCAAGTACTATGTCATCATACTAAATGGTCTACACAGTACTATGTAATACTCTGTCATTTTTCTTTTCTTTTCTTTAATGTATCCCCACATTTAAAGTAACATAAACTATCTAAAATCAATTATTCACATTCTAATTAGGATGAAAAGCAGTATGCTATTTTTTTTCATATCAAGTCTCGATGCAACAGATAAGACATTTGCATGTTTTTACTTTGAAGATAGGAGCTGAATTTTACTCTAGGATTTTCAGTTTGCTGATCTGTGAACATTGTTTGGGGGTAAAATGCTTTATTTCTTTCTCAAGTATCCCACTAAGTATCTGTTACAAGAACTCGATGTAATGATTCAATGTTTTCTAAATGAAATCCTTTGAAATAAAAATGTATATAAATATAATAATTTTCCTTATGTGGTCAGTTTAATGTTGTATGTTCAGATTCTACAGACATGTGATTTGAACATGACAAATGTATATAACTACTTTAAATATAGAACTGAATAATTCTATCTAGAAGACACCAATTCATATTAAGTTATATTATTATTAAAAAATAAATTTAAATTATATTAAATTCATATTATCCAAGTATACGTGTGTATGTGTGTGTGTGTGCATTATAGATATAGATACATAGATAGATAGATAGATGGATATAGATATAGATATAGATGATATATATAGATATATATCAGAAGAAATTCTTGTTACATCAGAAAGGAATTGTGGCTTTGCTCCTTTCTGTAATGAAATTACAGAATATTCTCATTTGATAATTGTGTTATGTGCTACTTTTAAAGAGCTCTATTAAAACAGGAAAATATAGATTAAAGTAGAAAGGAGGGACACTTAGATTAGAAAAGTAAGAACCAAAGTTGAAGTATCGCAGACCTTAGTAAGAGTGAGTTAAATCAGCTAATGGTTTCCCAGTCCAGATGCAGATAAACTGCATCTCAGTGAGTTGAAATAATCCAAGTCAATAATGTAGAGGTCAATTTGAGACTATTCAGGGTACTAAATTTGAAAAACAAACAACAAAAAAAAGGTATTGTCAGAGTAGAAATGTGTTTTAAGAAAAAAAATTAATGACTATCTTACGGATCTGTGAGTTTCATATTTATGTTGATGAAAAAAATCAATAAATTTTAGGTCAACCTGAAACCAACTAGGGTGTGTGTATTGCTCGATATAAAAAAAAAAATGACGTATAACCACAGTTTTTAGCTTCATGCTTCACAACTCATTAATAAAGAAGGCAAATATACACTCTTATACACTAGGAAACTCTTACTTAAGTGCTCAGGGGACTAAGGTCCAGAAGGTAGTGACCTATTTTAATTTAGGAAGAAAGACTAAGTGTCATGTAATGTGAAGGCAGTGACTTTTTTCAAAAACCTTCCTATGACAGAGAAGGAATGAACATCAATTTTTCACACACTGCCTAGCTCATGTGAGAAACTACTGAAACCTTGAAAAAGCCATTCAAATTCCATAGTAAAATGTAAAAGAAGAAAAAATAAATCAGTTGTAGGAAGCCCATATACAGACTAACAGATATTTTTAAATCATGCAAATGTAATTTAAGCACACTCAAATGTGTTAATTTTGAAGAGAACAATCCCATGAGTCAAAGTGTAGCACCTAGATAAAAGTAAATGAATTAGTATTTTAGTAAAAATGAGCCCAGCAGCGAATACGAACAGTGTCCTGTGTGTGTGAGCACCTGGTCAGCTAGCAGAGCCATGTGGATTATGGGATGTCTTGTCACGTCCACACTCATGTGTCCAGTCCCTGGGGCATCAATCAGACTTCTGGGAGATAAATGACCAATAGTGGAGGAGGGAGGACACCTTCTGACCATGTGACAGAAATTTCCTCTGCAAGCCCCTTAGATTTTGGAAGATTAACACCATATTCTAAAGCAACTTCAATAGAACTGAACACTAGGAACCAGGAAATAATTCTTCCTTTATCCTGTGAACTACTAAGGCATACATATACTATAACACACTACCCAGTTCAGATCTCCATAATCAAAGAGAGGGTTTTGGAACACAGCCACAAAGATTATTGAAGCATTGGAAAATAATAAAAGGTGGAAAATTCTAGGTTTTCAAGATGAAATGAGTTTAAAGAAAAATTTGATATATTTAAGTTTGCTATAAGGAAGATTCTGACACTGTGGGTTGTTAAACATTGAGGTGGTTTGCTGAGACTGCAGAAACTCCAATCCTGAGAATCTTTAAAAATAGAAAGGATTCCGACCAGCTGCTCAGAAGGATTGAATGTGGGCTTTATTCAACTAAAACTCTCCAAGACCACTCTAACCCTAAGAGTTTATTTGAAAGTGCCAATATAAACAGTATATTCCATCTAATGCTTTTGATTCAGTACTGCGTAACTGAGGAAGTCGGAGGGATTACAATAACCCCACACTTCCAGTGCATAAAAACATGTGAGGCAATAGTTTGTCATAATTAGGACTTAGTGATACCTCTGGGCACTTGGACTTTCTGATTTTAAATTTCTCATGCAAATCACATATGGTGCTTAATCAAAAGTTTTAAAGATATATTGCAGTTTTGAATAACTCATGCTAATGAAGCATGAAACCATGATGAAAAGTACAAAAAGTAAATAAATAAAGATCAGGCAAGTTAAGTTTTCACTCGTTATATCAGACAGACTTAAAATACTGGTTTTTGTATTAAACTAGAAACTTGATCTTAGTCACATAAATAATCCAAAATTTTAATATTTCATGACATTTTTTGAAACACATCTGAAGCTGTAAAACAGTTGTCTATAATACGTACCAATTAGTAAATTAATAAGACTCTCAGAAGTCATAGAGTCTGGTCAAAATTATTTCTTAAAAAAACATGAATAAATCAAACAGTAAACTAAATTGAATAGTATACTAAGTTGAGCGATCAGTCAAATGGCATATAAATACATTTGTACCTAATACCACAAAGTATCCACTTCATCTTTCCACAAAGGACTCTTGGGCTTTCCTTAAAGAATGTATACAGTCAAGCATTAGATTTAAGCAAATTTTAACATCTAAACCCTTTCCGTTTGCCAGTGCTCTGATGCGAAATCTTTAAAGAGTTTATTTTCTTGTAAAGTAACAGCAGCATTATTTAAGTAATCCCAACTAATGACTTCACCAAGCACGGTTATAAAGTGCCACTCAAACTTTCTACACTGCCCAAATCAGCAGATTCATAACTTGACAGAGCACGCTAGAGCTACCTTTACAGCCCTGCAGTTAACTGCATTCAGTAAATATTTGCATCCACAGCACTATAGATGTTAATAACTGTGATGAACATATATACACATGTAAACACACACCCCTCCCTGTGTAACAGTCTACCAATAAACTGTAAAAAACAGACACAATATACTTATGGGTATATCCGCCAACCACTGATTGTACCAGGACGATATCTCTTTTTGTTTATCTTGATTTTCAACGTGTGTGTGTCTGTGTGTGTGTGTGCGCGCGTGTGAGCAGGTTACCGGAGAGGGAGATCCATTCTTGCAGAGGGGCCCTCGGAAGACTCCTTTAATGCCCCGGTAGTGCCCATTGCTGAGATGTCTCGAACTGATGACCAGGTAACAAGCCATGTGGGTCCAAGCAGGAGGCGCAGCGTCTCAACTCCGCACCAGACGCCCAGCCGTGGAAATGCGGGCTGGTTTCTCAGCAGCAACAGTGACTGCCACCTCTCGAGAAGAAGCGGCCAGCGGCAAGCAGGGGACGCGGCGGCCGCGCGTCCCGGCTCCTCGCCCAGCGCGGGGCTCCTGCTGCCGGCAGCGGCTGCTCTGACGGCGGCGGCGGCAGCGGCAGCCACACAGCGCTTAGGGGACCCGGCGAGCCAGTCCACATGCTGCTCTGACGAGGCGGCTGCTCAACCGCGGGCCGGCGATATAATTTTTTTTTTTTTTTAAGGACAACTTCCTGGGTCCGCCAGGGAATCAGGAACTCCCCCGCCCCCTTTCCTCCCGCCCCCCACTTTCGCACCCAGTGCACGCCTCGAGATGCTCCGGCGCGGGTCCCGGTCGCCTGGCCGGGGTGGGGAGGGTGGGGGGAGGCGTCCGCGGGCTGGGCTGCGGGCAGGGGGCTGCGACGCCGGGCGGCGGCAACAGCAGTCGGCGCGGGAGAGCCGCGGGCAGCCCCCAGGAGCGCCAAGCCGCTGCCCCCGCTGCAGTGGCGGGGGCGGGGTCGCAGGAGGCAGCACGCGGGCTGGGGCGAGGCCCGGGACGTGGGGACGCGGCGACCCCGCGCTGGAGCAGTCAGCGCCCCCGCTCAGAGCCGTCGGCTGGGGGCGAAGGGCGCGCCGGGCGGCCGCGCGGGGAGGTGACAGCTGCCGCGGTGGCGCCCCCGAGGCCCCGGCGGCTGCGGGACGCGCCGCGCCCGCTTCCTGCCTTCAGCCGCCCCAGCCCCCTGGTCGCTCCGCGCGGTCTCCGGTCCAACTTTGCACCGGGTTTGCGGGCCCCAGCCCGGGGCGCCTGGGGAGAGCCGCGGCGGAGGAGAGGAGCAGGAGGAGAGCGTTTCCTTCACTCTTGGGCTGCCTGCTCGCCTTCAGCGTTTTTCCGCGCTCCGGCTGCCGGCGGCGTTGGCGGAATCAACAGCTCCCCAGCCGGCTGGCTGTTTGGAGGAGCCGTGCAGCCCCAAATAAGGCATATTGATTAGATGCGCGATGGAGGGTGATGGATGCAGGAGGAAATAAGTTTTAGATAGAAAACTTATGTAAGGAATAGAAACGAAACGTGCACTCGCGTGTGTGTGTGTGTGTGTGTGTGTGTGTGTGTGTGTCTCCAGAGTTATAAACACTTACAAGTCTTTCTGTATCTTTAAGGAGGCAGATACTTTGGACCTGTCCAGGACGTTTGCGTGTCCACAGCCCTCAACGATCGCCCCTCAGCGGTGTTTCTTAATGAACGTTAAATCATTTGCTGTAAATGAAGCCACCAGGGAGCGAGGTGCACGGAGAATAAATGACCTGTGCAGATACGTGTTCTGAAATGAGAAGGAAGCCTTGCCGGAGTCAGGAGGAGGTGTGCCCTTTCCACCCCGCGCTGACCTAGTGCGGTTCTCTCTCGCCCCACTCGCCCAGGTCTGTGCTGGGGAGAAGATAAAGGGGTGGGGGGGGGGGCTCCTTTCTTTTTTGCCTTAGCACTGTAATTAGTGCAAGGTTAAGGCTAATGCTCCAAGTCACCTCCCCAGTTTTTTCCCTCTTCCGTCTCGCACAGTGCTCCACTAGCATCCTGGTTGACCCTGAGGACCTTTCACAAATGACAGAAACAGGTCAAAGAAAATAGGTAATTCAGTTTTTCCTATTGAGGCAACTCATAAAACTCTGAAGCAAACATATATTCCAATTAATATACTTTTTATAAAGTATAAAGTCAAGTCAATAAAGATGACTTTTTGTTCACATTATTACAATAGTTTATATCCTTAATATTTTATTAAACACATAGATGTATTTCTCATTTTAAATGTTTCAGATAGTCTTTATAAAGGCGCTTATATAAGGCAAAATGCCGATTCTTTGCGAACTTCGAGTTGAAAACTACTGAAACTGACATAGTGTAATATAAATCTTGTAGGAATTGTTTATTTTATAACTATCTTGTTGGTAAGAATGTCTGAAATAAAAAATAATACAGCAGTGACAATAGATACAACATAACCACATTTTCCTTTCTATTAAGACTGATGTGCTTAACAATGTGGTGTTTATTGAACTTAGAGCTGTGAAATGTTTCCTGAAGCTGACAGTAAGTAATATTAGTCATAGATAGACGGTAGGTACATTCTATACCAAGAAAACAATGTATTTGCAAATAGCAAAATTTCAAAATCAGGCAAAATCTTTGCCAAAAAAATGAATGAAGTGAAATTTTAAAAGGAGATAGTGCAGCTCAGTCTATAACTATTATTTCACTCTTCATAAATGTAATAAGCATTGAGGACATAAGTGTAAGCATCCTGGAATGGACTAGAAAAATGAATGATGTCACATGCTGTGAATAACAACTCCAAAGATACTATCCCTTTTTAATTAGGCAAATTTAATTTCTAGTAATGTTTAATCACTAAGAATCAGGTATACTCTCCTAAAATGAAAGAACTGACAAGTAATCAAAAAGTATAACTATTTGGCAATGAGAAAGAATGAAATATGGCCTTTTGTAGCAACGTGGATGGAACTGGAGAGTGTTAGGCTAAGTGAAATAAGTCATACAGAGAAAGATACCCTAAGTTTTCACTCTTACCTGGATCCTGAGAAACTTAACAGAAGACCATGGGGGAGGGGAAGGGGGAAAAAAAGTTACAGAGAGGGAAGGAGGCAAACCATAAGAGACTGTTAAAAACTGAGAATAAACTGAGGGTTGATGGGAGGTGGGAGGGAGGGGAAAGTGGGTGATGGGCATTAAGGAGGGCACCTTTTGGGATGAGCACTGGGTGTTCTATGGAAACCAATTTGATAATAAATTTCATATTAAAAAAAGTATACAATTCACATATACCATCTTATTGTATGATTTTTTATTCAAAGTATTTGTTAGCTATCCTGATATTCTAGTTCATTTGACTGTTCTCCCATGTGCATTTGAGTTTTCCCATAGGAAACAAAGTAATCCCTTTTTATAGTAGTATTTCAAAGACTGTAGTATGATGGGGGGTGGGAGGGAGGAGAGGGTGGGTGATGGGTATTGAGGAGGGCACCTTTTGGGATGAGCACTGGGTGTTGTATGGAAACCAATTTGACAATAAATTTCATATATAAATTAAAAAAAGACTGTAGTAATTTCCCTAAATTTCTTTAAAATTATTTAATTTTTGCAGTCTTTCTTCTTTAAAATGAATGATACCCGGGCACCCGGGTGGCCCAGTCTGTTAAGCATCCAACTTCGGCTCAAGTCATGATCTCTTGGGTTTGAGCCCTGCATCAAGCTCTGTGCTGATGGCTGAGAGCCTGGAGCCTGCTTCATATTCTGTGTCTCCCTGTCTCTCTGCCCTCCCCTGCTCACACTCTCTCTCTCAAAAATAAATAAAAATTTAAAAAATAATAATAAAATGAATGATACCAGTTCTGTTGTTTGCCATATTTTAAGTCAATTATGGTTGTTCTGTTCTTTGCTTTCCAATTTTGTCATCCATCTTAAAATGTCAAGGCAAAAATTGACACATTTGTTATTCTCAGCCAATTTTAAGAATAGTTTTTAAAATAAACAACAGGGGCGCCTGGGTGGCGCAGTCGGTTAAGCGTCAGACTTCAGCCAGGTCACGATCTCACGGTCCGTGAGTTCGAGCCCCGCGTCAGGCTCTGGGCTGATGGCTCGGAGCCTGGAGCCTGTTTCCCATGCTGTGTCTCCCTCTCTCTCTGCCCCTCCCTCGTTCATGCTCTGTTTCTCTCTGTCCCAAAAATAAAAAAAAAAAAACGTTGAAAAAAAATTAAAAAAAATAAAATAAAATAAATAAACAAATAAAATAAACAACAATCACAAAAACAATTGCCTTCTATTCCTTGCCAGGTTGTGATTGATATCTATCTGTGTGATGCCATCATATTCAACAACTCCCCATCATTGCTGGCCTATTTTAGATGTGGTTTGCCCAATCTAATTAATAGAAACCTAAGTGATTTTATTCACAGGGGTGCTACGGACACAAAGTTGCTCAGTTGTATTCTCTCTTTGCTAAACGAGGCACTTTCTAACTTCAGTAATTAAAAATGTTCAGAGGAAGTGAAAGGAAAGGAAAACACTTTAAAATAAGCCTATGGTAAAGGAATTTTAGATACAGGTCAAATTCTATTACAACAAACATTATGTGCAGTCTTGTAAGGCCCATTTATAGTAAAGTAATATTGATCTGATGAGTTTTCATTTCATGGAAGGAGATGTGAAGAACAAACTGCATGGATTTCAGCCTATGATCAATTTGACATTTCCATGTATTTCCAGATTCATGGCTGTATCACAGATGGTTGACAGAATGAGAATCCCTTCCTTCCATTACCTTTATCAAACACATCTCAAATTGATCTCCTTATTTTCGTATCTGCTGTCCAACCTTAGTCCAGATCCTCATCACCTCTTGCTTGGACTATTGCAGCAACCTCCTAACCAATCTCCCTGCTTCCATGTTGCTTTCATACACAGTAGATTCTCTGCACCCAACAACCACAGCGATATTTTTAAAACACAAATCATTTCCTATCTTATTGCTTTTTATTGCTGGAATAATGGAATATTTTTTTTTAATTTTTTTCAACGTTTATTTATTTTTGGGACAGAGAGAGGCAGAGCATGAACGGGGGAGGGACAGAGAGAGAGGGAGACACAGAATCGGAAACAGGCTCCAGGCTCTGAGCCATCAGCCCAGAGCCCGACGCGGGGCTCGAACTCACGGATCGCGAGATCGTGACCTGGCTGAAGTCGGACGCTTAACCGACTGCGCCACCCAGGCGCCCCTGGAATAATGGAATATTTTAACAGTATTCCAGTATGAATTGAATGGTACCTCTCCCCCCAAATACTAAAGTCCTGATGCCCTGTGAATGTGACCTTATGTGGAAATCGGGTCTTGGGAGATGATCAGGTTAACATGAGATCATCAGGGTGGGCCCCACTACAATATTACTGTGCTCTTATTAAAAAGGGGAAATGTGGACACAGAGAAAGAGGCACAGGGAGATTGCCATGTGAAGACTGGAATTATGCCTCCACAAGCCAAAGAATGCAAAAGATCACCAGCACACCACCAGCAAGGACAGACACATGGAGCAGATTCTCCCTCCCAGCCCTCCGAGGTAACCAATCAGGCCAACATCTTGATTTCAAACTTCCAGGCTTCGGGACTGCGGGACAATTCCTGTTAAAGCAACCCAGCTTGTTGTACTTTGTTCTAGCAGTTTGAGGAGACTAATACACCTTGTACAGATGTGCCACAGTCTGTTTATCCATCACCTATTGAAGGACGTCTTGGTTGCTTCCAGGTTTAGGCAATTATGAATCAAGCTGCCATAAACATTCATGTGCGGGTTTCTGTGTGGAAATAGCTTCACAGCTCTTTCGAATAAACACCAAGGGCTGCAACTGCTGGATCTTATGTTCCATTTTGGGAGAAACTGCCCAACCGTCTTCCAGGGTGACTGCACCATCTAGCACTGCCACCAACAACAGATGACAGGTTGTGGTACTCCACGTCCTTACCGGCATTCGGTATTGTCAATCGTTTTGTGTTTTAGCCACTCTGACAGGTATGTGGTAGTATTTCACGATTGTTTTAATTTGCAATTCTCTAATGACATACGATGTCGAGCATCTTTTCCCTTATGCTTATTTGCCATCTGTATATCTTCTTTGGTTAGGAGTCTATTTATATCATCTCCCCATTTTTTTTTAATCAGGTTGCTTTTTTCTCATTGTCAAGTTCTAAGAATTCTTTGTATATTTTGGATACTTCTCCTTTATCAGATATATGTTTACAAATGTTTTCTCCCAGTGTGTGGCTTTTTGGGGTGCCTGGGTGGCTCAGTCGGTTGAGTGTCGGATTCTTGATTTCGGTTCAGGTCATGATATCACAGTTCGTGTTCAAGCCTGACGTCGGGCTCAGTGCTGACAGTGAGGAGTCTGCTCGGGATTCTCTCACTCTCCCCACCTCTCTCTGCCCCTCCCCTACTCAGCACACTCTCTCTCAAAATAAATACTTAAAAAATATGTGGCTTTTCTTGTCATTTTTTAACAGTATCTTTGCAGAATGTTATTAATTTTAATATCATCCAATTTATTTTTTTCTTTCATGGATTGTGCTTTCAGTGTTGTACCTAAAAGTCACCACCAAACCTAAAGTCAACTGGATTTTCTTCTATGTCATTTTCCAGGAGTCTTATGGTTTTGGCACTTTACGTCATGGTCCATGATACATCTTAAGTGAATTTTTTGTGAAAGGGGTTTCTGTCGTATTTCTGGTTTGCATGTCGATGTCCAGTTGTTCCTGTACCAGTTGTTGAAAAGAATTGAATTGTCTTTGCTTCTTTGTCAAAAATGAGTTGACCGTATTTGCGCGGGTCTATGTCTGTATTTTCTAGCCTGTTCTGTTGATCTCTTTGTCTACCCTTTCACCAATACCACAGTTTTGATTACTATAAGAATCTAATTTTGACACTTTAAACTTGTAGATGTTTTCAAATTTTTATTGTGTATCTAGGTATCAATTAGTTCTCATTCTTGAATGAAACTCTGAAAGCAGGGAACTCCTCTATTTTGTCCCCTCTCTGGTTCTAACACCTAGACGAGTACCTTGCCAATGCAGAAGCTCTTAAGTGATATTTGGGAAGGGAATGAATACGTGTTTTACTTTTTAACCTCCTGATAACTACAGTTAAGGTTTTTTCCATATGAGTATACATGTATATGTACATACACACACACATACACACACAAGAGAAATTCTGAAATTTGGGTTGCAATATTTTAGGTTTCTTAGGTCTGCATTCTAAGACACATTTTGTCAAATTCCACTAATTCCACTACTTAAACTGAAATAATTCCACTATTATTAAACACCTTTTGAACTCTTAGCTTCTCCCAAATTCTGTGCATTGTATTCTGATTCTTGAAAAAGAAACTATTGTAGAAAGTATGTACTTAATTGCACTAAAGTATTTATTATTTGGTGGCCAGAGATTTGACATTATTAAGTATGTGATCCCCAAAAGACATGTGTTAGCCCTCATACTGATTAAGTCTGTTAATCCAAAAGAGGTCTGGTTAGCAGAACTCAGACTTTAAAAAAGGAGACTATCTCAGAGCAGGGTCCCATACTGGGTGCCTATTGGACTAGGCTGGTAACGTGAACCCATGAATTGTGTTGGTATAGAAAACAGAGAGCATGGTGGGCATCTCATGTGGGCAGCTCCTATAGAGTCTTAAGTATATGAGATCTCAAGCAGGATGTTTCAGAAGTCTTACAGTATTTTAAAAGATATCTGAAATCCAGATATTTATATAAAATCTCCTAGTATTTAAATATTGGTAACTAAAAGAACATATTTGTTCAATACTATGAGAATTCTAAACCAAAGCACCATATTATGAATGAAAGACAAATTTCACTGGGAGAAGATATAGACAATATAGAGATACAATAAAGAAGTCCCATCTACAATACATAAAGAACTCATATAAATCAGTAGTAAAGAATTAAAAAGTAAGACAAGGACTTTAGAGACATTTCACCAAGGAAGGTATTGATACAGCCAAAAAACAGAAGAAAATATGTTTAATATAATTACTCATCAGAGAAATGGAAATTAAAACAGCAATTACATATCACTATACAACCCCAAGAATGACTAAAGATTAACAAACCTAAAGCATAAAATGGTGGCAAGAGTCTGGAACTCTCTCACATTGCTGATGGGAGTTTAAATTGGAGAAACCTATTTGGGAAACTATTTGGCAATATTTGCTAAAGCTAAACTTATTCTATGACCCAGCAATCTTATTCCTAGGTAAACACCAAAGGGAAATGAGAACTTAGGTTTACCGAAGACACATACAAGAGTATTTACAGATGCTTTGTATCTAATAGCCAAAAAATATAACAATGCAATCTCTTCATCACCAAGAGAGCAGATAAATAAAATGAAACATATTCATTAAAAGGAATATTATACTGCATATAAAAGGAAAGGTGGCCGTTGTGTAAAATAACACTGATTAATATTACAGGCATAAAAAATGAGCAAATGAATTGAGAGCTGAGTGACTAGAAATTGCATGATTCCATTTATATAAAATTCAAGAACAGGGAGAACCAATCTCTGATGGAAGTTAGGTAGTGGCTATTTCTTGGTGGGGTGCACTGACTGTGAATGGATACAAGAGACCCTTCTTGAGAGTCTTGCCAATGCTGTTTTGATCTGGGTAGTGGTCATGTGTGTGCGTGAATGTGCATGTAAAAATTCTTTGAGTTGTATACTGAAGATTCAATGAGATACTAGCACACATCCACCCAAATGGCTAAGATTAAAGAGACTCACAGTACTAAGAACTGGCAAGGATAAGGAATAAGTGTAACTTTAACATATTATATACTTAATACAACAACTCTAGAAATACTGTTGGCAACATCTAGAGTTGAGTGTTCGTATAACCTGTGATCTAGCAATTCCATGGCACATATACATGTGTTATCACACCAAAATACACATTCAAGGATGTCCACTGAAGAATTATTCATACTAGTCCCCAGATGGAAACAACCCACATCTTCATCAACAGTGGAATAGATAAAAACTGTTTGTACGTTCATACAGTGGAACAGAACATAGCAGTAAAAACAAGCAAACTGCTCCACAAAAGAATTGAATGTATCCCATGGAGATCTGGCTGAACAAAAGAAATCAGATGCAAAGAAGTATAGAATGTATGATGCTATTTATATAAATTCAAAAACTGGCAAAAACTCATCTATGATGTTGTAAGTCAGGTTAGTGGTTACCTTTGGGGGTTAATAAGGGAAGGGGAACAAAGGTCGATCCTGGGGGGCAAATAATATTCATCATATGATTTGCTTATTCACTCAATGTATGTTACAATCAATTTTTAAAGTATATTTAAAAAAATTAAATCCCTCATATTATAGATGAAGACAATAAGGCCTAGGGAAGCTTAAAAATATTAAAGTGAAGCAAATTGGAAACACAGCTAGTCCCCTACCAGCTGGCTCTCTACTGGGTTTTTTGTTTGGTTGGTTTCTTGGGCTTTTCTTTCCTGCGACCAATCTAAGTTAGTTAGTTAATTTATTTACGCCAATCTTCTTCCACAAGCAAAGGAATGGAAGATCAGTACACTGGTCATCATTTGATACAAGTAAAGAAGGTGAGCTTGATGTCCCATGCACTTTTCTCATCCATGTCCAGAGTAACAATCCAAACCAGTGCTGTGGTCTCAGGGCCTCGGAAGTGATCCCAGGTTCTCTTTATTCACTTTCATCACCAATGGGCAGTGGATTCACATGAGGGTTATGAACAGAATATGGTTACCATCTCCCCAGGAAAGGGGCTGGACCTGATGTGAAAATGGAGGCAAGTGATGAACCTGGATGTCTGGTGCTCTTCAGGGAAGCATTCATCATGCTCAGTCCCAGCCCAAGAAGCATGATGAGGTAGGTAAGGTCTTTCCTTCTTGCTGTGGGTACCACTCAACACAGGCTGCCTCAGCTGTAGCCAGACCTCGCTAGCAGCATAGAAACCCAGGACCCAGGTGCTGTCACCGTGCTGACCCAGACCACCGCAGAGCCAGAAAGGGAAGCAGGTCTGCATTTTCTGATTTCATCATGCATATACATAAAAGAGACTACAGATAGGTAATTCTGATTTTCACTAAAACAAATTATCATGGTAGCATGACTATGAAAAGTGATACAATTTTTAAAATAAATTCCTCAAACTTAACACTTTTTGAGAAAGTCTTCAAAAGCTACAAATTGTAATATTTTTCTTTTCCAGACATTTCTTCTACTTATTCTTTCATTCTAAATTGTCTTATTGATTTGCTAATTGCATCTCTTCTCTCATTTTTTTCACTTTTTCACTTTTACGGGTCTGTTCCATTTTACCCTAATATTTAGCTTAATAGAGGTTTAAAGTTTTGAAATAAGAAAAAGCAATGTTTTTCAACCAGTTAGTGTCTAACTCCGCTTATGTCTCCAAACAGAACTAGTCGTTCTTTGTGTTTACCTCTAATCAGCACCTGATACAAACTCCAGCCACAACTCCGGGGAACTGGCCAAACCTTGGCCAGGCCAAGCTCACCGAAAGGCTCAAATGAGAATTTTGAAGCTTACTACATGCCTGACCAAACCGCGCCAATTACACGGACTTTTTTTTAACCAATCTCTCTTTTCCTAGGTCTTAACTGTTAGTGAAATTTTCTATGAAGGGTAACTGTTTCAAACTAGTTTCTTTCAGGCATAATTTACCTGCACCTGCATAGGAAGTCACAGTAAAAGATGAAGAGCCTTAGCATTTTCACAACTGTAAATCTAAAAGTAAATACAAACTTTCATATGCCAAGTTCTATCTGAGCTTAAAGGATACCAAAAAAAGAGAGAAAGAGAAGAAGTAGGGGAAGAAGGAGAGGATGTGGGGAGAGAAAGAGCATTTTTTTAGCATCATCTTTAAAATCCTTAGGAGAGTGACGTTCCCCCCTAAAATGAACCCAACAGGGTTAAAAAGTGGATAGAAGAGGATTAAAGGGTCCTGCAGTCCCTAAGGCAGAAAGTGTACTGTTTTTAGTACTGCCTCATAGCAGATCAAATAACATAGACAGGGATGATTATTTAATCAAAGTCAAGGAAACAAATTAGGGTATGAGTCCCTCAGACTTAGATTTAATAACTAATTTTGCAAAACGACACCAGTAAGTCAGAGAGCTACATTTATACTGTGAAACATGAGAATACAGGGCAAATGATAAGAAATCAAACAGACCCCATAGATTTATTTAAAAAGTATTTCCAAGGATAACCTGGAGGGAAGATGGTGGCGTAGGAGGACGCTGGGCCACCGCGCGTCCTGCTGATCACTTAGATTCCACCTACACCTGCCTAAATAACCCAGAAAACCGCCAGAGGATTAGCAGAATGGAGTCGCCGGAGCCAAGCGCAGACGAGAGGCCCACGGAAGAGGGTAGGAAGGGCGGCGAGGCGGTGCTCGCTCCACGGACTGTCGGGAGGGAGCCGGGGCGGAGGGGCGGCTCGCCGGCCAAGCAGAGCCCCCGAGTCTGGCTTGCAAAAAGCGGAGGGGCCTGACGGACTGTGTTCCGACAGCAAGCGCGACTTAGCGTCTGGGAGGTCATAAGTTAAGAGCTCTGCTCAGAAAGCAGGAAGGCTGGAGGACAAAGGGAAGGAGAGCTGCTGAGCCCCCTGACGACAGAGCTCAGTTTGGTGGGGAACAAAGGTGCTCGCCAGCGCCATCTCCCCCGCCCATCCCCCAGCCAAAATCCCAAAGAGAACCAGTTTCTGCCAGGGAACTTGCTCACTCCGCACAAAAACACCCAACTCTGCGCTTCTGTGGAGCCAAACCTCCGGCAGCGGATCTGACTCCCTCCTGCTGCCACAGGGTCCCTCCTGAAGTGGATCACCTAAGGAGAAGCGAGCTAAGCCTGCCCCTCCTGCCCCTGTGCACCTTGCCTACCCACCCCAGCTAAGATGCCAGATCCCCAGCATCACAAGCCTGGCAGTGTGCAAGTAGCCCAGATGGCGACGCCACCCCACAGTGAATCCCGCCCCTAGGAGAGGGGAAGAGAAGGCACACACCAGTCTGACTGTGGCCCCAGCTGTGGGCTGGGGACAGAAATCAGGTCTGACTGCGGCTCCGCCTACCAACTCCAGTTATACACCACAGCACAGGGGAAGTGCCCTGCAGGTCCTCACCATACCAGGGACTATCCAAAATGACCAAGCAGAAGAATTCCCCTCAGAAGAATCTCCAGGAAATAACAACAGCTAATGAGCTGATCAAAAAGGATTTAAATAATATAACAGAAAGTGAATTAGAATAATAGTCATAAAATTAATCGCTGGGCTTGAAAACAGTATAGCTGACAGCAGAGAATCTCTTGCTACAGAGATCAAGGAACTAAGGAACAGTCAAAAGGAGCTGAAAAACGCTTTAAACGAAATGCATAACAAAATGGAAACCACCACGGCTCGGACTGAAGAGGCAGAGGAGAGAATAGGTGAACTAGAAGATAAAGTTATGGAAAAAGAGGAAGCTGAGAAAAAGAGAGAGAAAAAAATCCAGGTGTATGAGGGGAAAATTAGAGAACTAAGTGATACACTAAAAAGAAATAATATACGCATAATTAGTATCCCAGAGGAGGAAGAGAGAGGGAAAGGTGCTGAAAGGGTACTTGAAGAAATCATACCTGAGAACTTCCCTGAAGTGGGGAAGGAAAAAGGCATTGAAATCCAAGAGGCACAGAGAACTCCCTTCAGACGTAACTTGAATCGGTCTTCTGCACGACATATCATACTGAAACTGGCAATTTACAAGGATAAAGAGAAAATTCTGAAAGCAGCAAGGGGTAAACGTGCCCTCACACATAAAGGGAGACCTATAAGACTCGTGACTGATCTCTCTTTTGAAACTGGGCAGGCCAGAAAGAATCGGCACGAGATTTTCAGTGTGCTAGACAGAAAAAATATGCAGCCGAGAATCCTTTATCCAGCAAGTCTGTCATTTAGAATAGAAGGAGAGATAAAGGTCTTCCCAAACAAACAAAAACTGAAGGAATTTGTCACCACTAAACCAGCCCTACAAGAGATCCTAAGGGGGACCCTGTGAGACAAAGTACCAGAGACATCACTACAAGCATAAAACATACAGACATCACAATGACTCTAAACCCATATCTTTCTATAATAACACTGAATGTAAATGGATTAAATGCGCCAACCAAAAGACATAGGGTATCAGAATGGATAAAAAAACAAGACCCATCTATTTGCTGTCTACAAGAGACTCATTTTAGACCTGAGGACACCTTTAGATTGAGAGTGAGGGGATGGAGAACTATTTATCATGCTACTGGAAGCCAAAAGAAAGCTGGAGTAGCCATACTTATATCAGACAAACTAGACTTTCAATTAAAGGCACGGCTGTAACAAGAGATGAAGAAGGACATTATATAATAGTGACAGGGTCTATCCATCAGGAAGAGCTAACAATTATAAATGTCTATGTGCCGAATACCGGAGCCCCCAAATATATAAAACAATTACTCATAAACATAAGCAACCTTATTGATAAGAATGTGGTAATTGCAAGGGACTTTAACACCCCACTTACAGAAATGGATAGATCATCTAGACACACGGACAATAAAGAAACAAGGGCCCTGAATGAGACATTGGATCAGATGGACTTGACAGATATATTTAGAACTCTGCATCCCAAAGCAACAGAATATACTTTCTTCTCGAGTGCACATGGAACATTCTCCAAGATAGATCATATACTGGGTCACAAAACAGCCCTTCATAAGTTTACAAGAATTGAAATCATACCATGCATACTTTCAGACCACAATGCTATGAAGCTTGAGATCAACCACAGAAAAAAGTCTGGAAAACCTCCAAAAGCATGGAGGTTAAAGAACACCCTACTAACGAATGAGTGGGTCAACCAGGCAATTAGAGAAGAAATTAAAAAATATATGGAAACAAACAAAAATGAAAATACAACAATCCAAACGCTTTGGGACGCAGCAAAGGCAGTCCTGAGAGGAAAATACATTGCAATCCAGGCCTATCTCAAGAAACAAGAAAAATCCCAAATACAAAATCTAACAGCACACCTAAAGGAACTAGAAGCAGAACAGCAAAGGCAGCCTAAACCCAGCAGAAGAAGAGAAATAATAAAGATCAGAGAGGAAGTAAACAATATAGAATCTAAAAAAACTGTAGAGCAGATCAACGAAACCAAGAGTTGGTTTTTTGAGAAAATAAACAAAATTGACAAACCTCTAGCCAGGCTTCTCAAAAAGAAAAGGGAGATGACCCAAATAGATAAAATCACGAATGAAAATGGAATGATTACAACCAATCCCTCAGAGATACAAGCAATTATCAGGGAATACTATGAAAAATTATATGCCAACAAATTGGACAACCTGGAAGAAATGGACAAATTCCTGAACACCCACACTCTTCCAAAACTCAATCAGGAGGAAATAGAAAGCTTGAACAGACCCATCACCAGCGAAGAAATTGAATCGGTTATCAAAAATCTCCCAACAAATAAGAGTCCAGGACCAGATGGCTTCCCAGGGGAGTTCTACCAGACGTTTAAAGCAGAGATAATACCTATCCTTCTCAAGCTATTCCAAGAAATAGAAAGGGAAGGAAAACTTCCAGACTCATTCTATGAAGCCAGTATTACTTTGATTCCTAAACCAGACAGAGACCCAGTAAAAAAAGAGAACTACAGGCCAATATCCCTGATGAATATGGATGCCAAAATTCTCAATAAGATACTAGCAAATCGAATTCAACGGCATATAAAAAGAATTGTTCACCATGATCAAGTGGGATTCATTCCTGGGATGCAGGGCTGGTTCAACATTCGCAAATCAATCAACGTGATACATCACATTAACAAAAAAAAAGAGAAAAACCATATGATCCTGTCAATCGATGCAGAAAAGGCCTTTGACAAAATCCAGCACCCTTTCTTAATAAAAACCCTTGAGAAAGTCGGGATAGAAGGAACATACTTAAAGATCATAAAAGTCATTTATGAAAATCCCACAGCTAACATCATCCTCAATGGGGAAAAACTGAGAGCTTTTTCCCTGAGATCAGGAACACGACAGGGATGCCCACTCTCACCGCTGTTGTTTAACATAGTGCTGGAAGTTCTAGCATCAGCAATCAGACAACAAAAGGAAATCAAAGGCATCAAAATTGGCAAAGATGAAGTCAAGCTTTCGCTTTTTGCAGATGACATGATATTATACATGGAAAATCCGACAGACTCCACCAAAAGTCTGCTAGAACTGATACATGAATTCAGCAAAGTTGCAGGATACAAAATCAATGTACAGAAATCAGTTGCATTCTTAGACACTAACAATGAAGCAACAGAAAGACAAATAAAGAAACTGATCCCATTCACAGTTGCACCAAGAAGCATAAAATACCTAGGAATAAATCTAACCAAAGATGTAAAGGATCTGTATGCTGAAAACTATAGAAAGCTTATGAAGGTAATTGAAGAAGATTTAAAGAAATGGAAAGACATTCCCTGCTCATGGATTGGAAGAATAAATATTGTCAAAATGTCAATACTACCCAAAGCTATCTACACATTCAATGCAATCCCAATCAAAATTGCACCAGCATTCTTCTCGAAACTAGAACAAGCAATCCTAAAATTCATATGGAACCACAAAAGGCCCCGAATAGCCAAAGTAATTTTGAAGAAGAAGACCAAAGCAGGAGGCATCACAATCCCAGACTTTAGCCTCTACTACAAAGCTGTCATCATCAAGACAGCATGTTATTGGCACAAAAACAGACACATAGACCAATGGAATAGAATAGGAACCCCAGAACTAGACCCACAAACGTATGGCCAACTCATCTTTGACAAAGCAGGAAAGAACATCCAATGGAAAAAAGACAGTCTCTTTAACAAATGGTGCTGGGAGAACTGGACAGCAACATGCAGAAGGTTGAAACTAGACCACTTTCTCACACCATTCACAAAAATAAACTCAAAATGGATAAAGGACCTGAATGTGAGACAGGAAACCATCAAAACCTTAGAGGAGAAAGCAGGAAAAGACCTCTCTGACCTCAGCCGTAGCAATCTCTTACTCGACACATCCCCAAAGGCAAGGGAATTAAAAGCAAAAGTGAATTACTGGGACCTTATGAAGATCAAAAGCTTCTGCACAGCAAAGGAAACAACCAACAAAACGAAAAGGCAACCAACGGAATGGGAAAAGATATTTGCAAATGACATATCGGACAAAGGGCTAGTATCCAAAATCGATAAAGAGCTCACCAAACTCCACACCCGAAAAGCAAATAACCCAGTGAAGAAATGGGCAGAAAACATGAATAGACACTTCTCTAAAGAAGACATCCCGATGGCCAACAGGCACATGAAAAGATGTTCAGCATTGCTCCTTATCAGGGAAATACAAATCAAAACCACACTCAGGTATCACCTCACGCCAGTCAGAGTGGCCAAAATGAACAAATCAGGAGACTGTAGATGCTGGAGAGGATGTGGAGAAACGGGAACCCTCTTGCACTGTTGGTGGGAATGCAAATTGGTGCAGCCACTCTGGAAAGCAGTGTGGAGGTTCCTCAGAAAATTAAAAATAGACCTACCCTATGACCCAGCAGTAGCACTGCTAGGAATTTATCCAAGGGACACAGGAGTACTGATGCATAGGGGCACTTGTACCCCAATGTTCATAGCAGCACTCTCAACAATAGCCAAATTATGGAAAGAGCCTAAATGTCCATCAACTGATGAATGGATAAAGAAATTGTGGTTTATATACACAATGGAATACTACGTGGCAATGAGAAAAAATGAAATATGGCCTTTTGTAGCAACGTGGATGGAACTGGAGAATGTGATGCTAAGTGAAATAAGTCATACAGAGAAAGACAGGTACCATATGGTTTCACTCTTATGTGGATCCTGAGAAACTTAACAGGAACCCATGGGGGAGGGGAAGGAAAAAAAAAAAAAGAGGTTAGAGTGGGAGAGAGCCAAAGCATAAGAGACTGTTGAGAACTGAGAGCAAACTGAGGGTTGATGGGGGGTGGGAGGGAGGAGAGGGTGGGTGATGGGTATTGAGGAGGGCACCTTTTGGGATGAGCACTGGGTGTTGTATGGAAACCAATTTGACAATAAATTTCATATATAAATTAGAAAAAATGATAAAAAAAATAAAAAAAATAAAAAGTATTTCCAAGATTTGTCTTCAAATGAAAAAAAGTTTCAGTTTAATTAATCAAAACTACAGCATAGAGAAACCTCTGAGGCTGATTGCTGTTGTCCTGAGTCATCAGAAGAAAGACATCGCATTCCCATTAAAATTCAGAAATTCATAACCAAAGAAGACCTATCCATAGCCTCCCACTGTAAGGTACCCAGTCCCATTCCACCCTCTTCCTCCTCATGGAAAAGCCCCAGAAGCACAGGAGGTAGAGAACAACTTCGGATGACAGAATCAAAAAGAAAGGGAACCCACAGTCCCTGCTGTTCACACAGCATTTTGGAGTTCTCATTTCCCTATTTCCAAAGCTTTGGTCCAGTTTGATAAAACTGGAGAGAGAAGAGAGTCTTGCCTGCCAGCAAATGGCAAGAAAGGGGGTCATCATCACACCTGTTGGCATTCAGAATCCCAGTGGAGTCTGGAAGGATGGGAGAGTAATTCATTGTAGCTGTGACCCTCTTCTGCTTTTCCTGGAGTTTTGCCATGTCACATTCAAGGGCGGTAACCATTCGTTTACGCATAAGGTGCGTTTTCTAAACTTTACTGTTTCTGATTTCCAGGCGCCACAGTTTCAAAATACAACCTGATTGTATATACCCTTGAAATTTAGAGTGAATCTCAGTATACGTGATATACTGTAAAATCTGTTAGCACTTTGGAGATGATACAAGACAAAAAGGTTAACACTGGCAGAAAGAACGTTTCCTTTTTTTCTTTCTTTCAATCTCACTCTACATATTGGAAAAAAAAAACCCACTCTCAGCACACATGGAGGGAAGGATGGAAAGAGGAAATATTTATGAATTGCCATCCACTTGCAAGGTTTTTTACATTTGTCATATCATTTCGCCTTCACAACAATGGCTTTATTGTAGGTAATATGGCTACTTTTTCAGAGAGAAGGACACCGAGGCACAGAGAATTTAAAGAGAATATCTAAGGTCACAGAACAAAGTGGTAGAGCTAGGATTCATGCACATATTACTTAAGGCCTAGACTCTTTACACCACATTGCCTTTTATCCTGTATCACTCAGCCTCCTTGGACGATCAAAGGAGGATAAGCCACAGGGGCTCCAGCTTTCATCAATTGAAAATTCTCTGGAGGAAAAATAGGAAATACAGATGTTTTTGCTAAATTAGTAGCATGAGAACCAAGTGGAATTCCTGATTCTGGATTGGATGCTAGGTTTTAAAAAAAATCTATAAAGATACTTCAGGATAGAGATATTTAAATTGGAATAATACCTGAAAATATTATTGGATCAAGTTAAAATATCATGGATGGTACCCAGGTTATACAGGAGAATGTTTTTAGAAGACACAAGCTGAATTATTTCAGGGTGAAATGTCAAAATGGCTGTGACTTATTTTCAAATGAAAATAATTTTCGTTATTTGAAAATTGAAATGAAAATGACTTATTTTCATAAGAAAAACGTGTGTGCGTGCATGAAGAGAGAGAGAGAGAGAGAGAGAGAGAGAAAGTAATGGTGCACAATGGTAAAGACCACTGAATCTAGGGGAAGTAGATAAGGGAACTTACTGTGTTTTTTTCTGTTTTAGGGTGAAATAGGAGATTACGTAATATGGCTTGCAGTTGCAACAGCATTCACATAGTTTCTAAAAGGAAAAAAAAAATTGCATGAGTTGTAATCGAAAACAGGTGATGAAGGAGGGCACTTGCTGTGATGAGCACCGGGTGTTGTATGTAAGTGTTGGATTACTGAATTGTACACCTGAAAGTAATATTATACCATATGCTATCTAACTGGGATTTAAATAAATTATTTTTAAAAATTACATTTCATCAAGAAAAAAAATTAAGTTAAAAGACATGACCAGTAGAAAATCATACCAGTCTACCCTTGATAATTTCTCTTTGTGAACTTTAAGGATAAGAAAGTATAGAAGGAATAATAAATCATAGATTTTTGCAGAGGACTGAAGTTTTTGGAATGAGGGTAATTGATAATCTTAATACAAGAGAATATTTGATTATAGCTCCATAATTTGCAGGGCTCAGTACAAAATGAAAAGGAGGGAACTCTTATTCAAATGTTATTAGTATCCTGGCATTATTAATACCAGAACATTAAGTGTGAGTCCCTTCACAGTGGGACACCCTGTGCAACCACCCAGGTCTCATGTCCACGAAGCCCATCCTTATTACAAGTAAAAAAAAATGGTAAATATGTCACAGCTTTCTCCCTGTAATTATAAAAAATCAATAGTCACTCAACCAGAATCGAAATTGTATTGAACCACTGTAGCCTGTGTCAAGAACTATAGTTGAAATAAATGAGCTCTACAATGCATTCCTTCCACATACAGGTTCCATAATTTATTAACATTATTTTGCATTAATAGTATTTATTAAATTTTGTATTCAAAATATAAATTCGTATGTTAATCTTTCATATCACATGACCTGGGGCTATTATATGAAGGCTATATGAAAACATTTGTCATAAGCCACATAAATTATACTATGTGAGCTGTAAACTGGATCTTCTCAAATGTGTCCATGAGAAAGTAATCCAGCAATTTAATAATAATATACGAGAAGACATAGGTTTTTACTACGTTTCTTTTCACATTTTCAGTTATTTGCACATGAATTGGTTTGTAATGTTTGCATTTGTGCTGTCAAATTGTGCTGAACTGGTTATTTGCCTGTGACTTTTGTGCAGTTCTTAGAAAGAATCGGGACTACCAGCCTCTGTCTTAGAAAACTCATGCCAGAGGTAAACAAGTCAAACTAAGGAACACTGGCTACTAAGTTTATCTTATTACCATTTCACAGTTATGTTATGTCACAGACTTCTAATGAACGGGGGTTTCTGTTGTTGAAATGCTTACCCCATAAAATGTTCTTTCATTAGGATAATTTTTCATTTTCCTGTACCTGTTAGACTATTTCTTTAGTTATCATTAATCATGCTTTATGCAAATCAACTGCACAGGCAAACTGCCAACACAAAAGGTCTTAATGAAAATTTTAATCTTTATTTTTTCATAAAATACTTTCATTATGAATTAGACCATATTGGTTATAAGGCATAATATCTAATTAACTTCCAGATATAAATATAGTTCCATTACTCAAAAAAAAAATAGCTTCATTTCCTGACTTCTTATAATATCAAACATTTCATGTTAACCCTTGAGCTTTTAAGACATTGTACCAAATCTTCTTGAAGTTTTCTGGATTTCCATATTAGAGGAAATGCAGAATATAAGACAATACAGTTATCAGAGAAGATGGGCATATATCTGGTGATATTTCAAGTAAGGGAAAAATCCCTGCAATGTGTATGTATATTTGGATTTACTAATAAAGGAGATGCTTTCATATAATACTATTTTAGTTTTATTTTAAGCAATAATCACATGTTTCTTAGTTCTTTTTTAAAAATACCTGTTTTTCAAAACAAAACAAAGAATATCAAGCTAATGGATAAGGAGAAGAGACTGGTTGTTGCTTGAGGTGGGGGATGGGGGGTGAGCAACATGGAAGAAGGGGGGGTCAAAAGATACAAATTTCCAGTTACAAAATGAGTAAGTCATGGGGATGTAATGTGCAGCACAGGGACTACAGCTAAGAATACCATATTGCATATTTGAAAGTAGTAAGGAGAGAGGATCTTCAAAGTTTTAATCACAAGAAAAATAATTTTGTAACTCTATATGGTGATGGATGTTAACTGGACTTACTGTGATCACTTTGCAATATGGACAAATATAAAATCATTAGGTTATACATCTGAAACACAGAATATTATGTCAATTATACTTCAGTAAAAAAAGAAAAACCCACTATTTGTTTTATTTGTTTTGTGTTTTTTCATTGCTCTTTAAAAAAATTTTTTTAATGTTTATTTATTTTTGAGAGAGAGTGAGTGAGAGAGTGAGCAGGGAAGCGGCAGAGAGAGGGAGATGCACAATCCAAAGCAGTCTCCAGGCTCTGAGCTGTCAGCACAGAGCCCAACACGGGGTTCAAACAGATCATGACCTGAGCTGAAGTCAGACGCTTAACCGACGGAGCCACCCAGGCACCCGAAAAACACACTATTTGTAAGCAAAATACCTCTGGAGTATTGTATGATTCCTCTGCAATGGAAATAGTGACCTATTGACCAATACTTTTTAAAAGGTGCTTTTACATAAGTTGATCTGTGGAGTGGATACCATGCCCATTAAATGAAAGAGTTCCCACTTGTTTTCTTGCCATTTGACACAACTTATTTAAGTTGCAAAAAAAAAAGGGAAAAAAAAGAGATGATCAAAAATGTTTTTAGTAGAAAAACTAAGAAGGCTGACAACCCAATCAAATATCAAGTCACATTTCAAAACAGTTGTAATCAAAACAGTATGCCCCTAGAACAAAAATAAGTTTCATGAAGATAAAAAGAATATAGTGAAAATGTCTGAAAGAAACTTTAACTTTTTTATTCGACATAGGTAACATCTGGAAATAAAAGAGACAAGAAAATTAATAAATGAGAATAATTAATTAGAATTTATGGAAAACTTAACTTAGGTACATAGCTCACATACAGTATATCAGTCTAGTTCCTGATGGATTGTTGAATTAAGTAAAAACAAATCCTAGAAACTTTAATTGAGTACAGATCACTACAAGGATGATCCATCTGTAATACATACAATTTATTCAAATCAAGACCCCAACAGATAAGTGAACAAAGATAATAAATAATTTACATTAAAGGAATTTGAACCCACCTAGATGCTATAAACTTCAATAAACTTCAATATCTGCCTATAAACTTTAATTTTGATACAGAAGAAATGCAATTAAATGAAAAGGTAACATTTTACTTTCTTTATGTTGAAAAAAAACTAATGCTAATATCAAAACAGGATATTTGACTTTGGGGTCAAACTGGCTTACTCTGATGAAACTGTCTGTACATATTCTTTATGAGAGGCAAACTATGATCTTTAAGAACAATTGTAGATTTATTGCTACTAGTGATCTGAATTCCCATATTTCCAAGAAATTCATGCAAGAAAATAACTTAACTTTGCAAATCTATACATACAAAACAGTTTATAACAGCAACATAACAATAAATAATTAGAATATATGTACGTTTCAATGATGAAAGAATGCTAAAATTACTAATTTTACATCAGTTGCAGCCTTAACCATCTCCTTTAAACCTTTATAGGAAAATTGGCAACATGATTATAATGGTCATGTAGAAGGATAAATGTAGGAGAATCTCTAGAAAGTATTACCAGACCTTTTCTAGTAAATATTAAAATTGACTGTAAACGTTTGAGTATAATCTTGGTTAGAAATCATATGTGCAATCTAAAAGAAACAAAAACCCTCAGACAAACAAAAAGCAGAATCAGACCTGTAAATACAGAGAGCAAATGAATGGTTGCTGGGAAGGGGTGCGAGGTGGGCAAAATGGGTGAAAGAGAGTGGGAGATAGAGGCTTCCATTTATGGAATGAGTAAGTCACGGGAATAAAAGGCACAGCCTAAGGAATACAGTCAATGATACTGTAATAGTGTTGCATGGTGACAGCAGCTACACTTTGGATGAGCACAGCTTAATTTATAAACTCATCAAATCACTATGTTATACACCTGAAACTAATATAACATTGTATGTCAACTACATTCAAATAAAAAAAAATTTTTTTAAAGAGAGCAGCAGGGATACCCTCACTGCTTAGACTTTGAGTGATGTAGTTTAACAATATGTATCAAAGCTTCTAAAAATAAGTGTATTACTTACCATAAAGCAGTATTTTTTTAAATATCCTAAATATATAATGGCTCAAGACCAGTATCTTTCACTCGACCAACCCCTGAGATGAATGTTCCTGGTTCAGTTAAAGGGTAGCTCGCTCCACATGGTGGCTAAGGAGCACAAATTTGTTCTGTCCTTCATACCTCTTCCTCTGCTGCCTCCTGGCACCCCAGAGGAAAGAGGACCTGGAGGAAGGAGATCTGATTGTCAATTATCTTAGTCCAGAGATGGCACAAAAGAATCATACTCTTCTATGCCACTGACTAGGACTCAGTCATGTGGCCACACCCAACTGCAGGTGGAACTGGGAAATGAGGTACCTGGTTCCTCGGAAGCAGAGAGAAATTTGGGATATGGCTAGAAATCTCTGCCACAACATATACATCATATGAGTCAGAAAATTTATCTTTGAGAATTAATCTAAAGAAATAATGATACACATTTATAAGAATGTATCAATAAGTATATTCACTAACATTAGTGCTCATTTTACTAGTGAAAATAATCTCCAATGATAATAATTTATAGGACATCAAAACAATGATGTACTATATAGATAGAATATATATAATAATGATCCTAGTATAAAATAAAATGAAAAGTGCAACATAATATTAACTGGAGAAATGAAAAAAATCAAGGATAGAACTACAGGGTATGGTTCAAGATTTGTTATAATCAAAAGTATAAATAAATGTGGATGTAGTTATAGGCATATAGATTCATATATACATACAGACATTATCGCATGAGAAAAATAAGGATATGCCCCCAAATTGGTTATTTTTTTTCCGGTAGAATAAGACAATCAATTTTTCCTTTTGTAAAAAAA